AGTTACGAAGAGTGAAGTTTGGAAATTAATTATTTAAAATCTATAAACCTTTTGTAGTCACAATTTATATTTTTGAATAAAGCCCGATCTCACGAACGTGTAGGCACAAGTCGTTTGTGAAATAGAGTTATAACGAGAGAGTTATTAACTTTTAAAGTTAGGGACATTTTTGTAATTTGGCCTTCATTTAGAAGGTTCCAGATTTTCTGGAGCAAAGGAATGTGCCACGTGTATGGCTGGGATCAAAGGAAAGAAATAAATGAGAGAGCTGGATGGTTGTGATGGAAAGAAAAGAAGAGAAATGAGAGAAATGAAGGAAAGGATGGGAGAGGAGGACCAATTAGAAATAGGGAAAGGAGGGGAAATGAGAGAGGAAAGGAAAAGGGGAAACGGGCTCACCCACCGACCCGTGTACCCGCCGGTGACCCGGTTTGATTCTAACCAATTTCCACCATTTTTCAATCTAAATTCACCCTTCCATCACCTACAACCTATTCCACAACCCCCTATCTACCATCTTAGCTCAAATTTGTGGGCTTTTGGGTTCAATTTCATGAAAAAAGAAGCACGATGCCAATGGCATCATTGACGGTGATCCGTCATTTTTGAATGAAATCCCCTCGATCTTTACCACCATTAGACTCTCCTTAAACCCAGGAACAAAGCCCAGCGGTGGAACACCAGAGATGACGGATCGAAGCTCACCCATTCTAGGGTTTCCGGCGGGTTTGAGTGACATTGGGGCCTTTCCCGACCAAATTGGCTTTGGCCACAAGCATGAAACTTTCTCTACTCATTGAGATATACATTTCTATAAAATTTGGTAATTTTTGAAAATAATTGAATTTTCTGGCAAGTCGGGGCCGCCGATCGCCACCCGCGGCGATGCGTAGCCATTGGGCCAACGATGTCTTTTGAACAACGGTTTGATTCTCATTAAATGTTGTTGTGGGGGACATATGGGAGTTTTTGAGTATATGAACTATTGAAGGAATTCTAAAGGCAGGCTTGTACTTTGTTTTAGGCGGTGATAAAGTGTGACACCTTGATTCTCATGCTAGGGTGTATTAGCACAGACTCCAGGTGAGTGACTTTAATATATGTGATATTGGTGATTACCCTGTTTTTGTAATTGTTATCCTGTGTGGATATGACTTGGTTTTATAAATATGTTTTCTATTGAATTGTTATTTTTATGTTTATGAAATGAGATTTGACGTATATATTTGAAATATGGGTTGATTTGTATGATTGGCATGTTGTGATGAAATGTGAAGGCTAGTAGTAGACCGTTAACCCATTGTGATGGGGATTTGTTGCTTCGATATTGTTTCATTTCTTGCTTCGTTGATTCCTTCTAAATTTAGTATTTGTGCCTTGTTTCACTTTGTTGAGCTTTTGTAAATTAAGTAACTTGTACCTTGTCTTGTTTCTTTGAGCCGTTCTACATTATGGTTGTTCACCTTCCACCCAGTTTCGTTGAGTGATCCAAAATTGGGTTTCTGCAAGGGTTCCGTTGAGTGGTCCAGAATCCCTCGTGCTCCGCGATTCCGTTGTGTGGTCCGGAATTGTATCCAGCTTCGTTGAGTGGTCTGATATCCATTATACTCCACAATTCCATTAAGAGGTCTAAAATCGCATCCACTCAGATTCCGTTGAGAGGTCCGGAATCCCTTCTACTCCGCGATTCCGTTGAGTGGTCCAGAATCGTATCTTGGTTGGATTTCGTTGAGTGGTCCAGAATCCCTTTTGGTATTATGGTTCCGTTGAGAGGTCTGAAACCCGATTAATTGCTTTGTTGATTCTTCGGATTGAGTTTGGATTGAGATAGCTTCAGAGATGTAGGTTTCAACTGAACTATGTCGCTCTAGCCCTACCTTTCATTATGTTGCATGAGTTTGTGGTTGTAAGCTTTTGTGACTTGCTTTAGACGAGCCGTTAGATGTTTGGGTGACTCCTTTGGGATTTTCAATGACTTGATTATAATTTCATAAAATATGATTGGTTTTTAAATCGAATCGATGATTGGTTTTTAATATTATCACATACGTCGAATTATTGTCACTCACACAAGTTTTGTGGCTTATCCGGGTTGTTTTTTGCCCAGTGCACCATTCTCATGGTGTAGGGGCAATTGTGCAGGTTTTAGTATATACGAGGAGCTTTGGGGTAGCATAGCAGATAGAGTTTCAGAGAGCTTAGAGTGTTAGGTTACCCCTATACTTTCCTTAAAAGATGTGATTATTGTTATTTTCGGTTTAGTATTTCAGTTTGTATTTCCTGGCATCCCCTTACAGTCTATCGTCATGTGTCGATTTCGAGCGTATCTCAAGATCGGGGCGTGACATCGTTAATCAACACTTAAGTAATAATTCAATCATCGACAACTACATCATATGGTTTACAAAATTTGGTTTAAAATTTTGGTTTCCCTAGCATTAGCGTTCAATAAATTAATATATGTACGTCTTTACCAATACTAGCCTATTAGGTTTAATTTGGTGTTTATTCATTGCTTATACATAGCAATTAAAGACTCGAAAAATATTTTTTTTATCCCATGTTGACAAGGTTAGTAAATAAAATAAAATAAAAACTTCATGATTTATACAAAAATTATTTAAAAGTTCAAATGAAGGGGAGACAAAACCCATCATCTACTTACTTGTACACCTGAGGTTTTTTCTTGTTCCTTTTTCTCAATACAAAATAAATTGGTTTTTTAACGTTTCTGAATTAATGAGTTTGAGGTGCTTTGTTCAGTATAATTTTATCTTAGTCTTATGTGTGAAAATAAATAATTTTTCCTATATGAAATTAGAGCTTTTTTTTTCCTTAGCCCTAGCCTAAAAAATCTCATGACCGGCCCTGCACAAAGGCATAGTTCATTATTCACATATCCCTGACTAGTCAAATATACGCTTAAATAGTAATATCACATCCCGGATTGTTTCAATTCATAAAGAGAACGCCTCAATCGAATAAAGAAGGTGTTCCATGGCCTAGAGCTATTTTAACCAGTCAACTTAAGTCCATTAGAAACTTTCAAGTAGGATTTCCGTATCAAGATCCCCATATAGATACACAATTACCATATACATAAGATGCATGTCAAGTCTTTCGGAAACTACCAGACTAAAAATGTAGCAGAACATTATTACATCCATAACGAGTGAATATGTCTCCTCCTAGTCAATCCCAGGGCATTAAGAGAAATCATGTGCCATAAGGCGTGCTTTATATCGCACATTATTATTAACTCATTGTGAGACGTAGTCCATCCCCTTTCCTTTATTGTAAATAATATCATATGTTCAAGAAAATTAAAATTTGAAAAAAAAAAAAAAACACTATTCCATTTCCTTTTTTTGATCAACAAAATGGTCTGTTTGTAAAAATAAGGGTAAATTACACAAAACTACCTCAACTATGGGTCGGATCACAATTTCATACCTTATGTTTTAAAAATTACAATGGCATACCTAATCTTACAAATTTGTTGCAATATCATACCTTCGTCAGTTTGTCTGTTAATTTTTATGATAAATGCTGACGTGGTTTGGAGTGGGACCCACTCCCTAACCCAGGTGGATAAAATATTAATTAAATATTGATAAATTGAAGATAAAATTATTTAAATATTTTTGAAAAAACATATGGAACTCACCCCTTCTCTCTCCCCTCTTTCACATCTATTTTCTCTCCTTCCCTTCTCTCTCCCCTCTCTCACATCCAATCTCTCTCCTCTTTCTCTCCTCTCTCTCTCTTCTATCTCTCTCTCACATCCAATCTCTCTCCTATCTCTCTCTCACATCCTATCTCTCTCTCGTATCTGATTTCATGAGATTCTTTCTTCCTCCATTCTTAACCTTCATCCTCCAGATTTCATAACCCATTTCATTTGTTTCCTAGAAATTCAAATTGGTAGAGAGGAAAAAAAATCACCACTCTCCTCCTTTTTCTCCAAAAAAAAATTCACCTTCATTCTCCAAATTCCACCACTCATTCTTTCTCCCCAGAAAAAAAAAAAAAAAAAAAAGAAGGACCAAAAAAACCCATAATTTTTTTTTCTTTTTTTATAAGCTGGTCTGTCAGGCCTGGGGACGATGTTGAATTTGGGGACCTAGAAGAGAAGAGGTAGAAGACGTCGTCGGCGAGGCGACGAGGCTGACAATGATGAGGGGATAAAAATTGAGGTTGTTCTTGATTTCAAAAATGAAGAGGAAACCATCATCGTAAATGGGTGACTAGAAGTTATCTTGAGGTTGTTGAGCGAAATTGGGACGCCGATGGGCAGCGTGGTGATAGAGAAGGAGTGTCTGGAAAGTAAAGTCGAGATCTTGTGCTAGCGGGGAAGGATTTAAGGTTTTGAGGTTTTAGATTGGGAAAGATGGATGAGGGTGATCGGTTTATAAGGGTGGATTCAGCGACAGGGATGTGGCGGAGGAAGAAGAGGGGGAGGAGCTCCATAGGAAGGAGGTGGAGATGGCTGAGGAGAATGACCCATTGGAACAGATCAAGAGAAAGGGGAGAAAGAGAGAGAATTATAGGTGGTGGGTCCCACATATTTTTTAATAAAAATATTAAAATAATTTATCTTTAATTTATTAATATTTAATTGATATTTTTATCTAGTTAGGCTATACAGTAGGTCCCACTCCAAGTCACGTCAGCATTTAATAAAAAAATTAACAGACAAACTGACAAATGTCTGACAATGCAACAAATTCGTAAGATGAAGTATAACATTGTAATTTTTAAAATATAACGTAGGGGATTATGATTCGATTAATAGTTAAGATAATTTTATGTAATTTATCCTAAAAACAATTTCCAAACAAAAAAAAAAATTGTAAACGGTAACGACCGCCCGCCAGCGTAAAAGGTAAACCGGCCCTTTTGGCGGCTACCGAATTTCGGTCAAAGAAAAATCGTCATTGACTAATTGCATAAAATAATCATAAATTTCATTTATATTTTATTACAAATAATATATGTAATGACGACAATGTCCCACTCTCCAACTACGGCAAACGAACCCCAGCAGCTCCAGCAGGCAGGAGACTTGGGGAAATTCCAGTAGCTGGTCGCTGCAGATTTGGGGTATTGGAAAGGAAAAGGAGGAAGAAGGATTGCCCAAAACGACGTTTCCCTGGTCGTGTGCTTCTGCGTTTTGGCCGACTCTAGGTATATATTATCTGTTCATCTCTTCAGCTTGATCCAGCTAGGGTTTTTGAATTAAAATTTTACTCTGTGCCCCTATTTTCGTTGATTGAGTTGTTGTGTTTGCATTTGAAGTTCAAATTTTGATCATTCTGTTTTAGTTGAACTGTGCTGAAGTTGAGGCGTTCAAATCCCTTTCTGGGTTTAATACTTGTGTGCAAATTTTGAATTTTGCACATACGAAATGATTTTTTTCCCTAATTTGTAAATGATTAATTGTATGCGTGGTTTGGTTTGATAATCCGAATGGTTGCGGTTTTTCAATATGATGAAGAGCAACATATGAGAAAGAGAGAGAAGAAATGGGTATTTGGGATGTGTATTTGAGGTGGATAAGTGGTGTAATTGAATTGGATAGGGTGGGTTTATGATTGTTGAGGTCTTTGACTTCTGGATCATAGTTATTAATTTGGGCAAGACGTTATCAAAGGCAGGAAGCAAACTGTAACAAACTAATAAGTTTGGAATCAGAATTTGATTCTACGCCCTAATGGTGAACATTTGTCAAAATGTATTGGCACTGAGAAATCTAAAGGCCGTTATAGAACTAGTCAATTTCCTTAACAGCATGTTTAGATTGAGAAAAAAATCCTGAAATTTGAGTCATTTGACAAAACTTGGCATATCCTAAATTCCTTCTCCGGATTCATAGGCAATGAAATTTGTAAAGTTCTATGTGGGAAACAAAGAACTTGGCGCTTTGAGAAGGAAAAAAGGAGAGAGAGAGCCGCAGGGTGGGGGGTTGGTGGATGGTGTGGGGTGTTTGGTCATATATCTCAACTTCAAATTCCAACTTAGTGGGTGTCATTTCCAAAAAGACAAAAAGCTGCCACCATCACGACGTCCACCAGCTTGCCGCCACCACCACCACTCTTCCTCCACAGTTGTCATTGTCACCACCCTTACCGTTACTTTTACCAGCACTAAAACCACCTCATGCATTACCTTCTGGGGAGAAATTATTTATCGTCAATCACCTTTTGTTTAAGTCCCTAGGCAATTAATAAATATTTAAAATTTCAACAATAGCTTTTAATTGCCCTTTTTTTAATAGATATGGGCCTCATACTGGGAAGTTTTGTTTTGTTTTTCCTTGTTTTGCAGGGTTCAATAGCTGGGGTTTGATTTTCAAGATTTGAGTTTTATCACTTGATAGTGAGTGTTCTTAAGTTTTGATTGGGTTTTGAGAAGTCTTTTCTTCATTTTTGTGGATTGGTTTGGGTTTTGAAGGATCAGAAACGAGAAGGATTGCTTTGGTGTGTAAAGTTGTATATTTGTGGTGAATAAAGGTGCATCCATTCTTTCCTTTTTATTTGAAATCTGTTCATAGGAATACAATTGAAGGTATACTTAGTAGCATTTTCTTCACTAATTTGATGATTTCACTTGTTAAGAATCTACTTGTTTCATAGCCTTTAACAAAAACTTGGGGATTTACTACAAATATGACCAGTTTCATAATGGTCCTTCTTCATTATATGCATTAGTTTAATCTCATGGATGGCACATGTATTGCATGTCAAATCATAAACCAATCAAAAAATAAAAATTTTGGTGATTTTAAATGAATATTAAAGAACAATGGGTGGGTGTTAGAATAAGAAATCTTAAAACAAGATGGATAGGTGATTTTGAAGGGGTATAAATTTTCTAAATCAAGTCAACATGCTGCAAGAAACACATTAAAATGATTTGTTGGTAAGGATGCATACATGAACATTATATGGAGGGCACATGCTGCAATGGTGCAGAACGCTGACTTCAGGATAAGACTTTAGAGCAGTTAGAGAAAGAAAAAAAGTTTTTTTTTTTAAAAAAAAAAAAAAATATTGTTGTATATATGCATCTTTATCTTCCTCAGTATTTTAATAATGAAAGACAGCTTCATTAGATGTCTTGATGACCATACTCGCTTCATCTTCTCTACCCCTTGTGTTATTTCATATTCATTATGCTTTAGCAGATTAGGTTACCTAAATTGACGAATTAATGATTGAGATTAAGCATATGTTTGACATCAACGATGTACAAATACAGTGATCAAGAGAATCAGACTCTTCATTAAGGACTTTTTTGGTGTTCAATCTAGTATATTAATTGATTGCAATTTTAGAAAGGCGACTCTTTTGAATGTAATTCCCCAGTGACATGGTCGTTATTATTTTTGAAATGTATTATATGTTTGCTCTTCTATTACTTTTCAAGACTTGGTTTCTATTCCTTTCTTCTGCAGAGAGACCATTATACTTATTATATGTATTCCTTTCTTCTGCTGAGAGACTATTATACTTATTATATGTTGATGCAGGTGTGATGGAGATATCATTGTTCAAAGCACTTCTTAATAACATCTCCTCTTTTTTCCATTTATCATCTCATAACAACATAAACTTTGACCCGGTTCTGAAGTACTACAAAAGCGCCGAAGAGATATTAAAACTGTTGAAGACTGTACTTGATGCCATTGCTGATTCTGAAATAGCTTCGTATGAAATACTTGATAAGCCATTTGAGGAACTGGGTCAGTATGTTGATGAGTTGAGTGGGCAAATTGAAGACTGGCAGCCATTGTCTAGTAAAGTCAATCTTGTAAGTTACTAGTCTATGCGGTTGTGCTTTTTTAATAGGATGGATGATGTTTCTTATGAAAATTTAAGGTAGATTTGACTTGTCATATTCATAATCCTCACTATAAGTTTGATCAATACTCTTTTTTTGAGGTAAAGTGATCAATACAAATTTGGTTATTCTCTTAGTCAGAACTAATGTTAGTATGATACGCTTCTCTCTCTCTCTCTCTCTCTCTCTCTCTCATTCATTAATACAAATTTGGTTATTCTCTTAGTCAGAACTAATGTTAGTATGATACGCTTCTCTCTCTCTCTCTCTCTTTCATCAATAAAAATTTGGTTATTCTCTTAGTCAGAACTAATGTTAGTATGATACGCTTCTCTCTCTCTCTCTCTGAGTTAATAACGCACTATTTTTTATGTTTTTCAATACATGAATTTGAAACCGCATGTGCTGGGAGGATTGTTAGTCTATATTTCTAGAGAGAAGGCATGAAAGAAAATGGCTGATGAACAGGTCATGGTGACATTTACAGTAGTAATGGCGGCCTCTTTATACCTTATTTATCCTCTCATATTTAAATCCTTGTCATCAGATAGCTAATTAGTCTTTTCTTTTGAAAGGATGTATGCTTTTGCTTTAGAGAGTCTTAAGGTTGCTTTATAACTGTAAGAATTGGAAGCAAGTGCAGTCCCGATTGTTACATGCAGCTCCATTGCTGGTTCTTTTAAATAGTGACATTTAATGAATCTTCCATTGCTTCTTTTTTTTTTTTCCTGATGCCACTTGGCTTTTGTCAAGTTTCATAGTGTGGCATGGACATAAGAAATAGTATTTTATCTAATCATCTTATCCTATGACGTGTAGGTTCTTCAAGTTGAATCGTTGATATCAAAGATTTGGGCTTCTGGCCTGGATATCTTTCAACTGTTGAAAACTTCCCCGCAGCATCTTCCTGATGAAATGGGTTCAGCATCTCTTGAGGTAGCAAATGTGTGCAAAAGTTTTCGTTAGTTTTTTACCTGTTTCATTGTGTTTCTGGTAGAGCATAACACTCGGTTTCCTATTCATTACTCACTAAAGTACATTGGTTAATGAAAAGTGAGATGATTAAATACTTAATGAAAAAACTTTGGAATGAGGAACTAATTTCTGGCCTTTCTGGTGGACTTCTAATTCTAGAAGAGTTTTCGCTATGTCCTTTTATGATGTCTAATATTCACCGTGGTGTTTTGGCAGCAATGCATACAAAAACTTGAGCACATGGGCTATGAACAAATGTCAACTGTCATTAAAGATGCTATAAGCGATCAAGTGGAGGATGTTGGACCAAGCTCAGAGATCCTAGTGAAAATTGCAGAGGGCCTTAGCTTGAAGTCAAACCAGGAGATTCTTATTGAGGCTGTAGCCCTTGAAAAGTTGAAGGAAAATGCTGAACAATCTGAAAAGATTGAGGAAGCGGAGTATATTGAGCAAATGATATCCCTTGTTACCCGTATGCACGAGCGCCTTATTACCGTAAAGCAAGCCAGGAGCTGCAGCCCAGTTCCAATACCTGCTGATTTCTGTTGCCCCCTCTCTCTGGAGCTGATGACGGATCCAGTGATTGTGGCATCAGGACAAACCTATGAGAGAACTTTCATCAAGAACTGGATCGGTCTTGGCCTCACTGTTTGTCCAAAGACGCGGCAGACTTTGGCTCACACCAATTTGATACCTAATTACACTGTAAAGGCACTAATTGCAAATTGGTGTGAGTCAAACAATGTGAAACTGCCTGATCCGGTAAAGTCTGTTGGCTTAAATAAGTCAGCACACCTTCTTGGGCATGCAGAGCCTGATACACCAAAGGATTCTCCTATTTTTTCTCATTCCAGTGTCAATCAATCAATGTCACCTGAGTCTACTCGGTCTACTGGTTTGCCCTCTAAGAACATGTTTTCATCTGGTCCACTGCATCGGGAGAGAATTTCTCCTTTGCATCCTCGTTCAACATCAGAAGGTTCCTTGCCTGGTATAGTTGGAAATGGGCAGGCTTTGGATATTGAAAGAATATCACTAGCAAATTCTGAAGACAGGTCTGCCAACTTAGAAGAAAGGAGTACAGATCTAGATAGCCAGCACTCTATGTCGCCATCTCGAGATGAACTTCCTAATTCTATTGAAGATGAGCAGCCATCTCAAAGCCATAATAGAACTGCGTCAGCTTCTAGCGTACTTTTTAATGCCAATGGTACTCTAGGAACTTCTGTCAATGCCAATGGGGTCTTACAGGTATCGACGAATCTGTCAGGCTACAGCAGTGACGCTTCTGGGGAGTTGAAATCACAAGCACAAACTGTTGCTCCCTTGGCCCCCCAACAGAGAGAAACTGAGTCACCAACCAGAATGGTAGAGTCAAGACCTCGAAACCAAATGTGGCGCCGACCATCTAGCTTCCCGAGGATAGTTTCTTCTCCACCTATTGAAACAAGGCCTGATCTTTCTGAACTTGAAGCACAAGTTCGTAACCTAGTTGATGATTTGAAAAGCACTTCACTTGATACACAAAGAGAGGCAACATTTCAACTCCGGCTACTTGCCAAACATAATATGGATAATCGGATTGTTATTGCAAATTGTGGGGCCATTGGCTTGTTGGTGGATTTGCTCCGCTCTACAGATACAAGAGTTCAAGAGAATGCTGTCACAGCACTTCTTAACTTATCGATTAATGATAACAACAAAACTGCAATTGCCACTGCCAATGCAATTGAACCTCTGATTCATGTCCTTGAGACAGGGAGTGCTGAGGCCAAGGAGAACTCAGCTGCCACTCTATTTAGCCTTTCGGTGATCGAGGACAACAAGGTTCGTATTGGAAGGTCAGGGGCTATTGGGCCTCTGGTTGATTTATTGGGGAATGGGAGTCCCAGAGGGAGGAAAGATGCAGCCACAGCTTTGTTTAATTTGTCAATTTTTCATGAGAACAAGGATCGAATTGTTCAAGCTGGTGCTGTAAAGTACCTAGTGGAGTTGATGGACCCTGCGGCTGGAATGGTTGACAAGGCAGTTGCTGTTTTGGCTAATCTTTCGACAATTCCCGAGGGAAGGACAGCAATTGGTCAGGAGGGTGGGATCCCTGTTCTTGTCGAGGTTGTTGAGTTGGGTTCTGCAAGAGGGAAGGAGAACGCAGCTGCTGCTCTTTTACAGCTCTGCACAAACAGTAATAGATTTTGCAGTCAGGTCCTCCAAGAAGGAGCTGTCCCACCATTAGTGGTATTGTCACAATCCGGCACCCCTAGGGCAAAAGAAAAGGTACTTGTGCTTTTTGTGATGTTTGATTCTGTCTCCGATGGTTTTATTATTATCATGAATGATGTATTGAACGTAGCATAATTGGTTTTCTTGCAGGCACAGACACTCCTTAGCTACTTCAGAAACCATAGACAAGGTAATGCTGGTAGAGGATAATCAAAATTGTTTGCTGTCGGCCGAGGTTTTGAGTCAGCTTCTATAGATAATGTGTAAATTGGTTGGTGCAAATAATGCGGTTGAAGATTTTATTGTGTGGATTTTAATGTGATTTGTAGAGAAGACGTAAAAACAAACGATTGATAGAAGATTTGTACGTCTGATTTGTAAAATACTTACGTGAATGTGGGAGGAAAAAGTTCATAGCATACCTGTAAGTCCGGCTAGGCAAGATGACGATGACAAATTTGTATTTGGAATTGTTGATGTTATGCCCCCATTCTTGGTAGTATAGACATTTATATATTTCCATGTTAGGTTTTACTCTTTTAGTGATAGTTTCTGGGTGCTTTGCAGAGTATTTTGTGCAGCGGTTTTATTTATTTATTTATATATTTCATCAATGCAAGTGCTGAGATTCGAACTTGTGATCTCTTTCAATATTACAATTTACAAGACAAGGAAACTTGGGCACAATACTGTTGGTTCTTGCTTGTGTTCAAGAGGAAATGTGAAAATAAAGGTTGTCGGGAGAAATGCAAACCATCACGTTTCCTCTTGAGCTCAAAGCTGTATAGCAAGGGCGCATTGGCTTCTGTCTCAAATCCCAAAATGATGAAGTAGCAAACATACAAGGGGAATGGTGGGCAAGTTTGGCAAAACTGATTGGTTCTTGGTGAATATTAGTGAACAACTGTAAACACTTTCCAATTGCTATGTCATATAGAGCAACACCTTCATAGTAACTACTGGCGACACCGTTACAGTAACTACTAACAAGAAGCTGATTATCAGTTGAATTTACATGAAAATTTGTCAACTGCTCAACACTGGAGCTGCAAAAGGAGCCTCAAACTTCCCGTGACATGTAATTGATGTCGAACAAGGAACCGTTATCTGAACCAGTAACATGTTACTTGTTCAACAACAATTGGGAAAGAAAAGGTAAGAAAATGCTACATCAACGAGGGGAGCATGCAGTTGGTATTTCCCATTGCTAACAGCAAAAGAAAAAAAAAAAAAAAATAAAAAAAAAAAAATTTGCAGAAAAGTAGTAGCAGAAGATGAGAGATACCAAGCTTCTAAGCTGGAGACATATATGCACCTTTTCTTCTTCTTCTTCTGGTTTTCCTGAGTGAAATGCAATATTGAGAAGTGAAGTGTGAGTGGTGAAATTAAAGGGGAATCTTCTACAAGAGTACAAAAGTATGTTGGTTTGAGTAATCAGAACCACATGTTGCAGAAAAGAAACCAGACAAGCACACAAGTATTCACATCGGTCCCTATATTTGTCCTACACATGCTTCCAAACATTCGGATTGGTTAAACGCCCTAGCAACCAAATTTTTACGTACTTTCTTATCCCACAAAGAATTTTTTTGATTTTTATCCATTAGTGCTTGAATCGATGGCATGGTCACCCAAGTTTCTTCCATCGTTGGGGCAATAGATATATTTAGCCCCAAGTCTGTCTTCTTGAACCATATTTACTTTTCCATTTTCATCTTTTACGACTTTCCTTTCTTCATCCTTGTCGCTTACTAGGATCCTAACTTGATAAGGTTTAAAGTGCTCCCAAATCCAACTACGTTTACCTTGTGGAAGATGAGAATCAATGAGGACTTGGTTTTCTTTGGATGACTAGTTACGTGGTCGCTGGTAAGGTGATCAGGGTTTTTTTTATTTTCTGCACTTTTGCTGATTGGGCTTTGGTTGTCCCCAATCAATTACTTAATTAAAAAAGAACGGTTTTCACTTTTCATTGCTTCAAATGGAAGTTTCCAGCATATTTTAGTTGATACAAGAAAGTAGAAACGACTTGATGACTCGCAGCTGGAAGGATAAAAGATTCTTAATGCCTTTAATTACTTGTACACTTGACTTGGTTATTGCTTCTTTCTTTCTTTCGTCTCTCACTAATTGCTTTTTAGTTTTATAAAATGTATCTATATTACTTTAGTTACAGCGTGAAAATATAATCTGACGTGTGTGACAAGAAATGTTTCCTAAAGCAGCCGATGGAGCCCATAGTTCTTTTCTTTTTTGAGAATTTTAACGAAAAGCCTACGTTACTGTTTATTTTAATGAAAAATCATATTTTTACATTAAAAAGTCAATCCTGGTATTATTAACTTTACCCTTTATTTTGTCCTTATCATTAAAATTCAAAGTTTTCAAACATTTTTCATTAGTTTTCTTTCTTTTTTTCCTTCCAATTTTCAAGGATATCTTTTGTGCCAACAAAAACACAGTATTGCTGTCATTTTGCTATTTCTCATTTACCAAAAACCGGGTGCAGTGATGCATTCCTAATTTTATCACCAATGATTCTTCAAATTGACCAGAGTCCTTGTTTTGACTTTCAATTTCAAAATCAATCAATATCGTCTTTAAAATTAGCCGCTGTCCATCAATTTTGTCATTTTGTTTAGAATCCTCGTTTATTATGTGTTTGTTGAAGAAGCAGCTGCTGTGGATCAGTGGTAAGTAAATGTACATGATAAGAATTTGCAACAAATAAAGAAAACTGAAAGTAAAAGGAACAGTCCAACGGTAATAATTGAGATCATGTGTCAAAGAATACAAGGGGAACCAGATCTGCCGGGCAGGCAGTAAAATAATAATCACATGCACATGCAACCCGTTTTAAATGGTAAATTAAATATCAACTCTAACCCAACAACACTACGCCCGACAAAAGATTAAAATAATGACAGCTGACAGCATTACAACAAACACCGCGTCCTCTCTGTCTCACTCTCTCTTCCTCTTCCTCTTTTAGTATAATGCCAATACTGCCCATCCCAATGCGATGGATCCGACCACCTTGTGCAGGGACCTGATCGTCATGGCACCACTCTGCATTTCCAAAAATCCACACATTCAAAATTATGAACACAACAGAATCCAATAAATAATCATTTTCAATTCCACAATTCTAATTATCTAATTTAATTAATTATTTACTACTATCCAGCAGCGGATATTTTCCATAATGACACTCTGACACTACCCCTCGACTTCGGACCGAACCCCAGAAGGATTCATTGCTAAAAAAATTTAACGTAGGGCCAATTAGGTAATTTAATCACAATATTTCCCCTAACCTAACCCCACCACCACCAATGGTGGCGCGTGAGAATATTGTAAAGGCGGTGTGCTGTGGGTGGCGGGATAATCCACCGCCCAGACAAACAGATCTGATGAGTAAACCATCAAGGAAGAGCGTCTACTACAGTGAAGTTATGAACCCAAGTAAATTTTGAATTGAAATTTCCAGATCTAAGTGCGCATTGCACCCACAGTGCATAATAGGTCTAAACAGAAAACAAAACATTGGAAACAGAAAGCATACCTGATCGTCAGCTGCTGTAGAAGGACCCGGAGACGAAGCATCGGGAGACGAAGCATCAGGTCCCTCTGGCGCCGGTGGGCTGGCTACATCCGGAGTCGGAGCAGCCGCCGGAGACTTGTGCTTCGGCTTCTTGCTCTTGCTCTTGCTGGAGTTGGAGCAGCGGCCGGAGACTTGTGCTTCGGCTTCTTGCTGGGAGCCGGAGCGGGGACCTCAGGAGTACTGGGTGGCTCAGCTGCGGGAGCAGGGGCGGCTGCCGGAGGAGATTTGGCCGGTGGAGAGCTGACCGGAGCCTTAGCCGGTGGGGAGCTCTCAGGAGTCGGCAATGGGGGTGAGACGGTAGAGGTAGGGGGAGTGGCCACCGGAGTGGGAGCAGCGGCCGGCTTGGGTGGAGCCGATGCCGGAGTGGGAGAAGATTTGGGGGTGGCAACTGGAGATGGTGACTTGGGCTTGGGAGCTGCAGCTGGTGTAGTAGCTGGAGGGGTGGCGACTGGAGTGGCCGGAGAGTTAGTGGGCGCGGATGACGGAGCCTGTCCTCCGACGCCGGCGACGAGAAGGCAGATGAGTGCGATGGTGAAGATGTTGTTCCGCTCCATCTCTCTCAGACTTAGCAGTCGCAGGTTCTAGAGAGAGAAATGTTTAGAGAGAGAGAGAGATAGAGCGAGAGTGAGAGTGTCAGAGTCTTGAAGATAGTTTATATAGGCCCGATCTCAACGGGAAGAAAAGGGTGTTTAATCTGGAGCGTACATCAAGGTGGACCGGTTTGAAGATGGGGCCGGATTAGCCGTTGGATGGATGCAGAAAGACGAAGAGAAGGTTCGGCCTTTTCCGGGGGCCACAACAGAGAGCATGTATGCGGACGTGGCGCTGTAGAGTCGGTGTTTGGAGTGGACACAGTCTGGCTGGGACCCACCAGCTTCATTAGACGCATGTGAGACGTTCACTGTTCAGCATAGACTAATGGTGTTCTGAGACGCGGGTTTCGTTCACCGACAATATTCTTGACTTCTTACTTATTTTAATGACGTGGTAATATCATTTTAGGCATGGCCTATAAGTTAAAAAGAAAACTAATGAAGAAGGTTTGAAAGTTTTGAGTTTTAATGATAAGAACAAAATAAAGAGTAAAATGAACAGTACCATGATTGACTTTTTAGTGTAATAATGTGATTTTTCGTTAAAATGAACAGTACCGTGAATTTTTCGTTAAAACTTCTAACTTAAATGCGCGTTTTTGTTTGATAACCATCCATGGATGATTTTGGTTTTTGGTTCTTTACATTTGGCTGATGTGTAACTTTAATTGTCACGATTTAGCAACCATTTAGAGTATCTTCAAAGAATATGTTAAAAATAACATGTCAAAATTATATTTGATGGCTGATGTGGCCAATTGAATACAAGTGTTAAATCATTTTCTTATCCAATAGATGTGTCAAATATGTATTTTATTGTTTTATTAGGCCCAAAGTTACATAAACTATTAAAAATAACCAAAATTAATTTCAGTTTTTATTCTATTTATTGTTAATAAGACCCATAAGTTAAAAAATTAAATTAAAAATATTTGACTCTTTCTTTGTTTGCTGTCAAAAAAGACAGTTATAAAGTAAGGAGTCAAATGACTCAACTGCCACATCATATTTAGCATATCCATTGGAGAACACCTTAATATCTTTTAGTCTTAATAGACATATTGATATCCCCTTTGAAAATGATCTTAGTTATTTCTAACAATTCTAATCTATACAAACAATAATGAGGTACCTGTAGTGGATTTTTTTTTTTTAATACAAACAATAATGAGGGAACTAATAATGAGTTGGCTGAGTTAAACTTGAGGACGTTGAATCATTTTAACTACAAAAATTTTGCATAATCATTCGTAAACTAAATAAATTGTCATCATTAAGAATGAGCATGTTTACTAACACTTAAGTATAACTCAATCATTAACTTTCATGTCATTTAGTTTACAAAGTTTTCTCTACAAATTTAGTCTCCCTCATTACCCATTTTTTAATGAATTTAAGAATTGACGGGCATGTCATGTGTGTGGTTTTCTAATAGAAAATATCAATTTTATTAGCAAGTTTCTCAAATATTTGTTCAAATTAACAATTTGTTTTGGTGGATTGCTTGGTGGATAGAATATTTCTCTTCAACCCATTGCCCTCAGGTTCGAACTCTTATCTCTAGGAAAACCTCCTAGTTGTCTCTACACATCTACCTCCTTTTTATCACTAAGCAGTCATTTAGAGGCATTAACTGGTGATTAGGATTGTTTCCCCTCTCGATGATGAAGCATATCCCTCATTGTCTCATTGGCTAGCCTTGACCCTTGTCATTTCAAGGCCATATCTAGTATTTAGAGTTTTTTACCTCAATTTGATACCGCTTTCGTGGCCCTCATCCAAACATTACTTTACCCTTAGATGTCTAGTCAATTGATGCGCCTCAACACATTTTGGGAATCCTTCACCCAGTTCCATATGGGGATGAATCCAATACTAGGGCATGCTTATCCCATTCTTATTTCTCAACTATAAGATCATAGAATGATGTTGCAGTGACACATATCGCTTTGAAAGCGAGAGGTCTGGCCATGTATATAAAATTGTTGAGATAGATTGCCCCACTGAATACTAATCAAGAACACATAAGGGCGGTACCTCTATTAGACTGGTGCTATATAAATGTTGTATCCTCCAGCATTATTCAGCTTTAAGTCATAACAATTTGTAAAAAAATCAAAATTTAAAAAGAGTTGCTATTAAGATTCCAAAAATATTATTTTACACTTTAACTAAATAGTAAAAAAAAAAAAAAAAACTTAATATAAGACTAATTTGAGCCAATTTTAGGAATAGTCCATTTTATTAAAATAGGTCCCGATCCTTTGAGTTTTGAATTGTTTTACTATAAAGAATTCTGTTTAATGGTAAAATTTAGTATAAGAAATTAAACCTCTTCCTAATTATCTATTTAATTATTTCTCCTTATTTCTTTTTCTTTTTGTTATTTCTTGTTCTTGTTCTTCTTCTTACTCCTCTAAACCCTATTCATATACGTTAGTCTTTCTTCTTCTACGTCCTCCAATCCCATTATATATATATATATATATATATATTTTTTTTAATGTTTATTATCTACCTATACCATGACTGAATTATATTTATCTAACTATATTTCAGATTTTGCTTTATAATCAACTTGTATCACAGATTAATGTGTCTTGATTGTAGGAATAATATTTTTTTTTTGTACCCTTAGTGAAACCTCCCTTGTAGGTATATTATTCACTCATGTATTTGTTCTTTGAGTTAAGTTGTATGTTCTGCAGGTGGTTTTGTGCAACTATATTAGTTTTTTGTTAGATAATATTAGGTAGATTAAAAATAAACCAATTTTCAAATATGTAAAATTCAAAAATATAAACAAAAAAATGCAAGAATTTAGAATTTTTTTTAAGTATCTCTTCTATTAAAAAAATGTATTATGACCATAAAAATAAAAGTAAAAAAAAATACTATAACATGTTGATTTTTTAGAACTCATTGGATGTGTTTTTAAAATGATTAAAAGCGTTTTTGGTGAAATTATTTTTGGAAGTAATCCTTAGTAAAAATTCTAGTAAATCCTAAAAAAACACTTAAAGTACTAGAATTAACTAGAATTTTTAAAAAACACTTCAAGTAATTTTGGAACCTAAAATTATTTTCTCTAAAAACTTTTTCAATCATTTTAAAATTACATTCAAACAAGCTCTTAGACTCAAATCTAAATGCCCCGCAAAAAATACAAACCAAGGAAGTGCATTCCAATCCATTACTGGGAGCACCGAAGGAGTAGGTAAAAAAATGTTATTTATTAATACTAAAAGTAAAATCCTCTCGATGCAATCAGAAAAATGAATTTTATTTATTTATTATTTTTTTTTTTATGTTTGTTAAATACCCTAAACTTTATATCTACACTTAAAAAGTGTGGAAGCAAACGAAGTCTCACAATGAGTTAACAATATAATCGAATCTAAGATCTCTCATTTACTAGTGAAGATGAACACTATTAAACCGCAATACTAAGTGATACAAACCACTTTAATTAGAAAAAAAAAATTTAGTGTGTCAGAAATACTAATCAGTACACCAGTTACCATAATACAGGTAATTAAAAATACTTTCTTCAAGTGTCTAAATATTTGTATTATAATATTTAATATACTGAATTGTATTTTTCATACGTATAAAAGAAAATAAAATAAAAACCTCTCTTTAGCTGGAACTCTTCGGCACCGGTAAAAATGTGGGGCCCGGGCTATGTTGTCACGGAAACCGTGATTGTGATACGCATTTTGGCTGTTGGGCTGTACCTGGATTCTTTCCTTTTTTTAATAGAAAATTATGAGATTTTTCCCTTTTTTTTTCCTTCTATTTGTTGACTAAGAAAAATAATAATGGGATGGTCTGTCTGTCATGACATGGAAGACAATGAGGATTGAGCTAGGGACGTGAAGTTTGAACACATTCCACTCCTTTGTAGCGCGTAAATAAGATTCATATGGTGGCAAGATAACAAAAATTATTTGGCATTCAGAAGTATAGGATATTCCAGATGTTTGAACCGTTGTGTTTTAATTTTTAATCAAAGATTTAACACTTAGAGATGGAAGTGTCCAATACTCAAAAGCACTATAGAAAATCCTACGAGATATGGTACAAGCCAAAACGGAAAAATATATACTTCTGGCAAATTTTTTAAAATGATTATTATTTAAACCAAGGGAATTAATTTTTTTAATTGGAGTTTAATAATTAAATTAGATTTATCTAAAAAAAATAAAGTATGGATAACCACCTAATCTTTTTGTGGTGAATCCAAATAAGTCTCAACATTTTAAATAATTATCTAACATCTTAAAGAAAAAATGTTAGGAATACCATATTTTTATTAACCACATGATGTGACGGTTGATGATTGAATTATGTTTTTTAATGATTTTAAGAAGGCATCCAACGATCAATTGTCATATCATAAGGTGTACCAAATATGATTCAAATAGATAGTATTTTTAGCAACTCTTTAAAAACCAAGCATTTGTTAAGTCAACGATGTTAATTGATGAATATACCAACATTAAGTGATGATGTTTCAAGCATTAGATGATGATGTGGACAAAAACTAAAGTTGGTCTCTACTTATAGTCATCTTTGGAGCTTTATTTTCCAAATCAAGTTAAGTGGTGAACATGCTTAGCTAAACTGCTTCAATTTAGAAATTTAAAGCTTCGTGGATGATTTGAGAGTAAAAATCCGCTTTAATAATTGTCTACATCATCACTTAACGCTAGTGAACCTAATAAATGTACACTTTTCAAAACAGTTAGTTAGTTATATAGAATGTTTTAAAAGGTTAGGGCCAATTTGGAACCACCCCTAAATGTTGGATATTTTTTTTTTCCATTGTTTTTGAACGAGAGAGATGAGATTTTAACTTAATACCTGTTTCAAAATTGAGAAGAAAGTTCTAGTCTTAATCTCTCTAAGTACAATGTCTTTGGAATAATTAGATACAATCATACAATGTTATATGAGGCTCCCAAGGACTACATACGATTAATCGTTTGCAATCAAAGTATTCCTTATTTTTGTTCCAACAGTTTCCTTGTTTGTTTTTCGG